GGTGGAGCGGAATCGAGGCGCAAAGGAAGCAGATACAATTCACAATGGACTCGGCGAACCGGCGCGAAGATCAAACGCCACTCCAACGGGAATTACCGACGTCCATAACTGACGTGAAACGACGAGTGTTAAGAGGTAGATCACTTCGTGCGTCTGCATCTGCATTCGTCGTGTCGCCGCGCCGTCGAAACACGTGCCACCGAGATAATTTTGCTACTTTGGCTAACATTCTCCACGTACTCTCGCAATATTTAGAACAAAAAGTTCTAATTTAAATTGATAGAGGAATACGAAATGTAGAAATAAGTTTACAATGGATACAATTTGGTTAGGTGTTGCTTATATTAGAAATATATTATATAAATGTATTATCGAAGCATATACATAAATACACACGTGTAATTAATGTGTTTCATTAGAATCTTGTATTCTTGCTTTCTTTCTCTTTGCTTTTATTTTTTCTCGAGTCTGTATTCAAGCAATAGTCAATTATATAACAGTCTAATAAGACGAGGGTGACGAGCTGTTATCTAAGCTATAAATAGTATAGATGAATATTATCGTAAACAGTTATACTGTTTTGATGGGACTGTTTTTTATGTCGTTTCGTTAAATATACTAATTGTTCATATGTGCATTTTCGAAATTATGTGATCCATTGAGACATGTGGTCAAATGGCGAAATTAATTCCCAACGGTAACGCGATGGGATAATGTCCTAAATTGACGCGAGCTTTCTTTCAACAACATAAAGGGGAATGAATCTCAACGCTGATTCTCCAAGAGAGGACAGAGTATCAAGGACATCGTTATTGGCCCCCGAGGCCACGCCGCGTATTGTTGTCGCCGGATGAAACGAAGAATCACTGAATTTTATGAGATAAACGAAGCGAGGAGATCCCGCAGACAAGTAATGCGTATGGTTTAGATTTCGACGGTCAAAGGAAATAAAGAGCTTAAAAAATTATACGTAGGCACGTGTTGAAACGGAAATAAAGAAGTTAATTATCTAATTATAGCTTTATAACTATGTCATATAATATTACATGAGAAAATATAACTACATACAACGAATTTGTACACAAAATATTTTTAAAATTAAATTAAATTAAAAAGAATTTAAATATTTAAATTAAAATATATATACAAACAAAAATTAAGTCTAATTGCTAATATTATCGCTCAAGTTATAAAATTGATGAATTCTCTTCCTTCTTTTTCTCTCGTCAGAATTTTGCGTCATATAAAATACATCTCGTAATTTCGACAATCTAACTTTGATCGTTAATTAGATCAATCAATTGGACCAATACTCCATTCTTTGACATGTATACCTTCACAAAATGTCTTATAAATTTTTACAACAGATTATACAGACGCAACATGCGAATCTTTTGTAGTCTTTTAGCGAAAACGTTTTTTGCGATATTTCCAGCGGGTGGAGATTGCCGCTTTTCTTTTCTGTCGTCACGGAGGTGGATCACTTTCGGAGATGACAACAACGTGATTTAGCAGACACGGGAAAGTCGCCACGCGACGGTGGCAAGGGGTGGCGAAGGGGTTTGCGCCGCTCTTTCGTGGTTGTATATCAGGGGCGTCGCGTTATTGGCCCCCGAGGCGCAACCGGGCTTTGTCGGCTGGCACGCCGCTCGTCGGATAAACCGAGCTCCAAGAACTGCTGACTTTTATAGGATAAACGGAGTAAAGAGAAAGAGAAAGGGAGAGAAAGAGAGAGAGAGAAAGGGAGACCGTTTGGCGCGCGCGAATGTGCACGGCAACATCGGTTTTATACATCCCGGGATGAATCCGCGCAAATGAGGAGCCGAACGATGCTGTAATCATTCTGGATATGCAAACGTATGAGGTTATTTAATTTTTGCTCACTTAATTCGCGAAATGACTCCTTTATTTACGATGGGAGTTGCGGAGAAATCGTGCGTTAAGGATTAAAGTGTTTCAGAAAGGGATGAGCTTACGGCGATGAGCGTGTTAAAAATCTGTATAATACATTTCAACACCGTAATTACGTAATTCTTTATGATTCTATAAATGCGTTATGATTTTTCAAAACGTTCGTCACCGCAAATTATTGAAAACAGATGCGAATCGTATTTATGCAATATGAATAAATGTATGCGCACTTAGTTTGTTTAGCAGGCTCTGTGGACTACTGTGAAGTCCCTTGAAAATCTAAACGGAGATAAAACTATTTGAAAAGAACTTATATTGCGATTATTAAAATTATATCTTGACGCGATTCGCAATACAGTCGTGCATATTTAGCAAAAATGAGAAGTCAGTGCAGTTATGGTGACCAGTTGAGTAATTTTATTGACGGAATTACATTGATTTCCTTTTTACGTAATTCGCAAAATATAAAAATTTAATATGTATAATATTTATAAATTCAAAATTTTTAGGAATATACGCAAGTTGAAAGTCTTAAAGTTTTAGAAAAACTTGTCAGTTCAAATTTACCTCCGGTAATCCGATTTTAGGATTACATTAACAGATTATCTTTTCGTATACAATTTTTTTTACAGTCTCTAAAGACACTCTGTTATTCGGAGAGTTTATCTCATCTATATTATCTTATTTACAAAAAATCCTGCATCTTTTCTATAATAAAGTATTATATTGTGACCTTTTCTAAAACATTTTTTGTCAACGTCTATTTCAATGCCTGTGTGACTTGTGAAGATAAAGATGTTTTTTCTTTTATAATGATGGGCATAAATGCCTTAAAAAATATATATTTGGATTTGTATTCATTCAGTATATAAAAATAAATTTTATTTAAGATATTTATACATGCATGTATATTAGTATAATATCTGACGATATAAGTATCATGTATTTCTGTGATTTTATTTGACGGCTTTATTAGTCATATCGGAGTAGTACTTTGAGAAATCTATTTTTTATCGTCACAACAACCGAGTATCGATACTATATTTGCATGATAAAGCCGACTATGAGGCAAGCAGGGACGAGATCGAACACCCACGCCTTTATACAGATGGCGGCAAACATTCTGTACAACCAAATCAATGCGGAGATTCGATACCTCGTTTTATCGAACCACCAAGTCGCGCACGGACTCGCGACAAGACAAACTGTATTGATAAATCTTCAACGAAGAAATTAATATTATGTCTTTTAAGTAATTTTCAATATTCGATGATTTTCTTCTGCGAAATATTTGGAGGGGAAGGCTACTTCTCGAGCGCTGCACGGCATGGTTTATAATCGGTACTGTGATTAAACAAAGAGAAGCGATTAAACAAAAAATACACAATTTGTAATTTATAAAACGCAATACTTAACTAGCTCTTCTTTAAATTAACAACATGTGGAATGTTTCTTTGGATTTGCACTGGTTTATAGAAATAGATTCTCACAGTCATAGTGAAATGTCATGATTTCACGTATTACGGAATTTTTCGGAATGGATTCAAATCGGAATTGTTTAGTTATTTCCAAAATTTCTATTGTGTTTTCTAGGGAAAACACAATTTCGGAATCCATTCCGAAAAATTCTATAATACGTGTCTAGATTTCTATATTGATTTAAGGGATTGCTTCGTTCAAAAAATGTCTTAGAAACCAGTCTGGTGAGTTAACGAGACACATACAAATCACATTTTTCGTAGATTCAGAGAAGATAGGCCTTGCAAAATGTCCCTTATAATCTTGTTTTATTGTTACATGTTTATATTGTGAGATAATTCAAAATACCTTTCAGGTATTTTTGTCATTAATTCCGCATTATCGAGAAGACGTTTTTACCTAAGAAAAACTTTCAATATAAGATAAAGTCGCAAACCAAAACAGCATGTTTCTGCACTATAAATACTTTGTAAATTTTACATCTAAGGTTATGTGTGTGGGCGTGTGCGCGCGCGCGCGCGCGCGCGTGTGTGTGTGTGTGTGTGGGACTACGTGTTACTTATCTACGCTGAAAGTAACAAAAATAGAGTTGAAAAAGTTTCGAGCTAAATCATAGCGCACAATCAGACAAGCGAGACAGACAAGAGTCAAAACAGGTTGCAGTTCAGAAGAATGCTTAAAAGACCTCTTAGAGGACCATTTTTCGACAATTTTTCCAAGAATGTCTGTAGTCGCCTCGAGCGACGTAGAAATAATCCGTAAAAGAGATTCCATTTCTTCTTCAGTAAATATATAAAAAAAGATTTGATGTGTATTGGAAGAATTTATTATATTGTCTTATAATATTATGTAATATTTATCTACTTGTCAATGAGTAACGCATTATTTGTTTCTTTTTAATAAACTGCTCAGAATTCAGCTGTTAAATTATCTTTCAAAAGAAGATAATATTATTTTCTCTCTTTCATAAAAATAAAGTGTCGCATTTTATCACACGTGACAATTTATAGTAGCATGAAATAAAATTAAGATTATAATTATATAAGATTCTTGATGGAGAATAGAATTATGCAATGAGACATCATCATAATCAAATTATCCGTAACCTGTCAAAATTTCGCATGTCAAAAGGAAAAGGGAAAGGAAAACACATAAGAAAATGACGGGTACGAATGGCAGGTGGAATAAATCCGCGAGAAAAGAAAATAAGGAACGGAGAAAGGAAGTGATGATACCGGGACCGCACAGGGCGAAGGAAGAAGATGGAAGCGACGAAGAAGATGAGCGTAGGTCGATGGATCGAATGTAGAAGGAGAGAAAAGAGCTGGAAGAGCGAAAAGAGACGGCAAGAGGGCGGACGGACAGGGAGGGAAGGGTGAGACGGGTAGGGGGACCAGAAAAAATCCGGGGATTTACGCGGAAAGGGCAAAATATTCCCCGCCCAGGCTTCATTCAGCCTCCGATTACGGGGTGGCTTTGGGTGAAAAGCACGCGCTCCCATTGGCCGAGGGGCTAATATGGCGGTGTTAGGGGTTGCAAGGTGGGGCTGGTGTACGCGATATTAAGGGCTGCTTTCATGTCCGACGAGCCAGTGCGTGGTGCGCCGTCGATTGACGCATTTTCCGTCGAGAAGGTGGAGAACGAGGTTCGGTATTCCTCCTGTCTCTCCTCATTCCCTATCTTTCTTTCGTTCGCTCGTTTCCTTTCGCGCACCCTCTTCCGCCTGGACCGCACTCGACTCGGCGGCAGATTCAATTTGCGCGCGTGCCACCCGGGACGAGAGAATCTATGATTTGCCAGTGATTTTCGTGGATCAAGGACTGCCGTTTTTCGTATTGCGATTTATTTGCGAATCGCGGGAGCTTACGTCAGTGATTTCTTCGAAGACGAACGACTCCTGCCTCTCAGATATGGCTCAGACTTATAATCAGAAGAGAAATGTGTACAGCATCGATCAGATATTGGGTCACGCTAAGGACGAAGGTACGGCAAAGTGTCTTTCTTTCTTCTTTTCGAGAAACGCGCGCAAGTTATTTCTATGAGTGGACTTGTCAATCATTCAGAAGCTCTCTATGTTCTATGTTAACTAACATAATTTTCTTAATTATAAAACTACTTTTCATATTAATAGAATAACGAATAAATAAGTACACATTTTATTTTAATTACATTTACAAATCAAAATGTTGAAATTCTAATTAAAAATACATTTAGTATTCTATTACGTATAATTATCTATATTTACTAAAAACAAAATTGTGAGAAACAAAACAAACAGTTGTTAATTCAAATAAAGTTAAACGTAAATTTCTGCAATGTAATTCTAATTTTTGCTCTGACAAAGTTAGAGTTTAATACACAAATATTTTGTTTTTAATCATTGTTATAGTCAATAATGATTTTAATCGTAGATATTTATGATTGATAAAGTATTTTATTCTTTATCGGATTTCATTGTTTATCATTTCGCATTGTATAAAGTGCTGTTTACTTACATAGCAATAGTAAAATCTCAAAGACAAAAAACTTGCTATTTAATGTTGTTTAACTTTAATAATTTTGTTAATTTCATTTTCTTTTATCTCTGACTTATCGTTTCTATTCATACCTTTATATATAAATTTTAAATACATTTACAAATGTTTTTTGGCTGTTCATTAACTGATCGATTGTATGTATTCTGACTGAAATTTACAACGCGTTTAATATAATGATATAATCACATTTTCTTTCACGAAACGATCGTAATCGCCGTAAGATTGATAATTTCACTCGCTCTCGGAATACTTGACTTGTCAATAAGAAACTCCATTACAGATTTTATTACCTTGATACCTGCAAGTACGCGCTCTCTTTTTTCACTGTAATAAAATAGGCTGGACAAACACTCGCATAAATAACGAATAAACAGGCAGCATTGCAAACTTTTATTTATTAAAGTTCGGAAGAGGTTTACGTCATATAAGATGAAAACAGAATACTCACTAACTTTCGATTTGAAGTGGGAATCATTAAAGAAATTTTAAATAAAATTTTCATCTTTTTCTGTTTCACCTTATTTATTATTTTCGTATACATTTTACGATGATATAACGCCGCTGAAATGCGATTATTATTTGATAAAACGTTCGTTATACGGTAATTATCCATATAACAATCAGCTAGTTATCGAAGTTATTAAAGATGACCTCATTTTGATATCTGATTGCGTGGTAAATAGTCTTAGAAAAAATCTTTATAGGGGGTATATTTTCTTTATCAGAGATTTATTTATCTTTTCTTTAAAAGTACACAAATTAAAAAAATTAATTATAAATGATAATATAAAGATAAATGTTTATAACTAATAAATTAGAATAAATGTATCTCTGTATATTTATTTTAATTTGTAAGTTATAATTTTTAATCTTCAATGCCAGGGATTTTCCGTTTTAGTTCCTTCGATGAAAGAAAAATACAAATTTACGGACAATTTTATTTTTCTCATAATTTTGTTCTGTTTGTAACAGAGAACGTACCAATATGTAAATAATAAATAAAAAAAAAAACGTAAATTTATTTTAATCTCAAAAAAGTTGAGAAATTCAACTTCAACTGTAGATTGAAAGAATTGCAAACGGCACGGTAAAGAGAAGATACGAATCTCATAGGAATACGCCGTTAACCTTAGGATTGTATGATTAAAGGCAACGTAACGTAATTAGGTCGTCGCGGGTTACAGAATCTGTGGCGACGATCGGTGTAACGTGAATTTACTACACGGTATATTGCGACACGCGAGTGCCATGCACGTGATTAGGTTGCGAAGAGACCGCACGAACGGCGGATTGTTTCGATGCATTCACTTTTGCAGAATCGTCATGGCGTGATAAATCATATTATCAAGTTTAAAGAACTACATTGTTACGTATACTGGCTGAGCCACAGCCGTGGCTTTATAGGCAAACAAAACAATACGGCGCGATCGCTGCCCCACGTTTTTATTAAATGCACGAACCACGAACACGCTTTTACCTTTTATTGCACAACGTAAGTCATTTTTTCATATAATAATATCGTCTCAATAAGAAACCATTGGAAGATCGATAATTTACGTCATAAACTATTGAACATAAGACGCTATTTCTGATGGCTATTAAGCTTCAAAAAAGTAATAAAAAGTATTAATTACCTTAATAACTTAATTACATTTGTAATTAACTTAAACATTTAATTTTAAGTAAATTTTAATTAAATAAAATTATTATTTGTGTGATGACCAGTTTAATGACCACTTAAAATTAAACAAATGCGATAAATAATGTTCTTTTTGACACTTCTGTTGAAAAGTGGGCTTTAAGAAGGTGGCAGAATAGCATAGCAAACAGCTTTCTTATTAGATTTATATACACGTGTTTATTACGGACATATGCAAGTGATCGTTCTCTGATGATTCTGATTTTTAGATTGCGATAAATTTTAATTGCAACGATTGAATGGTAACATTGTTTTCAATGTTACAATCTAAAATGATCAACTCGATGATGCTTTTATCTTGGATGTTTCATTTTTTATGAAGGATATATTTTACTAGAAGATTTACTTAGCTTTTTATTTATATGCGATCAGTGATAACTGCTGTAACGCGAATTTACGGTACGACGTTACGACACGCAAACATCGCATATATATACTCGACGCGTATACTGTCTCTTTGTGCGGTGTACAAATATAGAAATGTTACACGTGGCGTGCAAGTACGAAATAATCGTACGAACAATGTTCTGGATATTATAATAAATGTATAAATTATTAGAAGTGCAATTTATATGTACTTGCAATGTTTGTACATTCTCAGATGAGTCGATTTATGTATCCATTATAATTCATGGCCAATTCTAAAAGCATTACTGTATGATTATTGTATATATATTTATATTTGCCATAATAATTGTAGATATTTTGTGGCTGTAGATATTTTATTGTTATATCACTATTTTTATCATATTATATGTACACGAAAGAGAAAGAGAGAAAAAAAGAGTGAAAAGATATGCAACATGGAAATATATATACATATATATACATATATATATATTACACAAATATTTATTTTATTATACGTAAATGTTCGACAATTTTGTGATAATTTTTATAAATGTAGGTGAACAGACTTTTCATTGCATAAATTATTAAATTCGGATTATAAAATCATGAAATCGCATCCTTATTTGAGTCAATATGCAATATTACCAAATATTATTAATCTAACATATTTTATATTATCTATACTTTTTATTCAGATATAAATGTACACATAATATTTAAATAATGACGTGTCTATTTACTCGCATATTACTCCAGTATATTCAAAACAAATATCTTCTCTCTAAACTTAAGCGTATTTTATGCCATGCATTTTTATATGGGATTCCTAAGGGGTTTGCATTTTATAAATTTTCATAAACGCGCGCGTTTTACAATATTTTTTTTGAAAACATAGTCTCGTCGCGTTTTATCCCGTGGAACACTCGTGGCCGGCGTATTAACGTAAGTCCTTTTAAGGACTTTATTAGATTTTCAGCGTAAAGTCCTCGGCCACTTATAATCCGTTCCTGTCTCACGAAAGTATATTTCGTCGACTGAACGGATCGCAAATCCCTTTTAACGCTTAACGCTTAGGCGCATAATCCGCATAGATGCATAGGCGCGTAGGCGCATAGGGCGTTCTATATCGGAAAGATGATCATTCCGGACCTGTCTGGTCGTACAAAAACATTTCCATTATCCTCTAATTATTGTCAAAACAAGATTTGTCTGGCCCATAATATATGTTTGTCCTTGGACCTAAGCTCCTGTTTTCTCTTCTTTAATTTGTGCAGTTCGAGAAGAAATAAAGACTGAACAAAATGCCAGAAAATTTTGACCATGTTAACGCTTCGAGCAAATCCTAGCGTGACAAAAATAAGTTCTGTGTTTCTCAATATTCTTAGGTATTACAAATCTGAATAAAAAAATTAACAATTTCCATGAATTAATAACAATTTTTTCGAAAAGAAGATTTCTTATACTTTTGAAATTTCCGCGTATGTAATAATATATAATGAGTGCTTAAGATACGCTTACGGACACGATGCAATTATAGGAATAACACTTTAAGATAATACAATCTTCCAGGAAAAAGGATCATATTGTCGTTCAAAGGGCTACGTAATAACGCGTTTAGATACACAATATAATATAAAATCAAAGCCTTTGCTGAAATATGATAAATTACATCGACTGATTACCATGACTATTCTCTTTATTAATATCTTTTATCAATTGTTAAAATTTATTAATCCGTATTTTATGAATTGTTGCAATTCCCCTTAATCTCTATACAATTACGCGGGTGTTTTCATCTATGACTTCATGACTGCAGGCGGTTCCTTTGGCGCCTCACGATGTGATGATTCGCGACATGTGCCCGCGATCGGCACGGTAAATAAATTTTTAATTTCGCTCTGCGCGTCTCACCCTCTCGGCCATCCCTACCCTGCCCCAGTCGCCTGGTCCACATCAGGCGTCGGCGCATCGTAGATTTAATAAAAAGCAGTGGAGAGCTAAGCATCAAGTGGGTACTCCATTGTGCCTCAGCATAAAAACATTGAAATCTCTCTATTCAGCTTGGATTAGTACGACGATGCCTCTCTCTACACGCGTATATGTATACGTGCGTGCGTGCGTGCGCGCAGGCTTCCGCGCGTGCACGCACACGCGTGCATACCGTGCGCCGCCGGCGGCGTGCATACGTTTTCAATCGTATCTCGGTTCATCCTATCACAACTGCTGGCTATGTATCGACATCGAAAAGTAGGATTAGCATTATTACGCACGAGTAGTAAATGCTTGTCTAATTAGTCCGCGCGGAGACGCGTAAAAGGATGTACGTGCAGGGGTGGATAATCGTAAAACCTTTTCGTACGGCCTTATTACGGTTATTCGAAAAGGTTACCATGTTGCCGATTGAATTTGTTAAATTGGAGTGCTCAGAATGGCAGAAATTTGAGTTACGAGAAAACTAAGTTAACGAGGGGCCAGAAAAAAAGAAAACGAAGTACCTGGCGCAGGCAGTTTTTGATATGATTAATTTGTATTATGGTCATTTGTTTGGGTACTTAAATATTTGAAATAAGAGAGGCTTCTGTGTAGTTCTGGAATATTCTCACTAAAAAAAAATTGAAACAATATTTTTTTTAGGCCGTATTTAAGTCCATTATTTTAAATTTACACTGCGCAAATGAAATAAATGACATTATTTAAATGTTTGCTAAATGATTTGCCAGTTGATTAACGAGGAATATTCGGAGCCATCTAATTTATCCATGACAAAAATTAATCGGAATTCTATTTAACATTTAATGAGATAGATTTTATTTATTAAACTGGACACTATGTTTCGAAGATGTAGTACAACGTAACGCAAAGTGATTTCGAGGGAAACGTTTACGAAGCGGATTATAATTTAATATGAAATTTAGTCTGAGTATATGTGCATGTAAGCGGATGCAGACGGAGATGTAGCTTTGTAGTTAAATTGCTGCTTCGGTCTCAGATCGTTATCCAATTATAATAGGTATATTAATCTAAAACGCTACATGTAGTTAGCTAATTAATAATTAGCCTAGTTCGCGGGTAGTAATGAGGGCGCAGTCCATGTGATGGGTTTCATCAATAGATCGGCGAGTGTTCGAGTTATTTACACCACGCAGACTTAATTTCCTCCATTTATATAAAATATAACCGCTGCGTGAGATAAAATAAAATGAATTTAAAGATTTTATCATAACTGACGGATTTTGATAACGTTATTTTCTTTTTCAAGGAGAAAGACGTGGCGCCAGCTTTATGCCACTCCAAATTCTCCGCATAAAAAAGTTTGACCGCATGAAAAAGCATCGCGATATTTTGTAAAGAACCTAAGTATAGAAAGGTGCTCCTCGCAAAAGACGATGAGGAAGTCGGAGAAGGATCGCGCGTATCGTTCTCAAGATTACCGACACAAGGGAAGGTTCACAAGAGGAATAATAAATCGCGCGGCAATTTGTTGCGCGCGTGTGTATATATACAATATATCATCGCTTCTTACAAGCGTCAAAGAGGTAACAAGGTTTATCGCGATGCTCGATTTTTACCGCTCGCATAGCTCTCGCCGTGACATTACCGCGATGTATTTTTGCGGAAAATCTGTGAGATACTTCCGCTACTTTTCGCTCGACGATACCTTCGCGACATCTCGTTAAGCGCACGGCACGATGGCTCGTTGCCTGCAAGCTCCATTTTTAAAACTCGTTACGATGAATTTATTTTTAACGCCGTCAAGTGCCTTTCGAAATTATATGCAGATCAACCGATTTGTTATTATCTGGGCGTTCGTGCAATATCAAGCGCATTGCACGAATGTTTTTCGAATATTTTTGCGCGTATTGATTTGATCGTTGTAGAGTTGCAAGTTTTATGGCAAAAGTCGTTGAAATAATCGTTGTCGCTATAATTATCTAAATTTTTGTAAATATGAGAAATAAAATATAAATGAAAATTTCATAAATGTATTAATAAATTCATCGCTACAAAACCTCCGCGAAGATTCTATACTATTTTATCATAAAGTTATTTATAAAAACAAACAAATAGCTTCCTTCGCCAGTAAATGAAGTTATTTATAAACTTATCTTTTATGTACGATTAAAATCGACATACCGCGCGATTTGGTTTCTCACCTGAGACGAATCAGGCAATCTATATATCCGACTATGTCTACGTGTAGTTTACTTTAATGAGGCTTTAAACCCTCGTTGATATTCGCGCAAAGACAGAACGAGTGATCATGGTAGGAAATATGACTGGGGGTACGAGGCGGTCGCGATCACAGAAAGCCGGGAAGGGTACGCGTTTCACGGGGGGTGCAAGGCTCGTTGCTGTATCGTGAGAGAGAGAGACAGGAGAAGGAGGAGGAGGAGGTAGGGTGTGGGCAGTATGCACTCGTGATATTTGCTAATCACTGACAGCGACGGCTTTTAAGTACTGTCGAGCACATACGTATAATGTGCGCACTTACATTTGTAGGGTATTTCGCGGGCGTGTACACGCGGGCAGATGTATGGAGCGGTGCAAAAAAAAAAGAGAATAAAGCGCCGGGTGAGGCTTAAAAATTGGCAAATCCGCCGATCGGACGTCATCGGCGTATCGGTTATATCGGTACCGGTCGTTGTGCGGCTTAAAAATGAAATTGCGCCCGTATCTCCCCGCCGCTACCACCGCCGCCGCCAGAGTTGGCATATCAGGCAAAACGACAATTTCGTTTTGGCAACGCGAGCGATATGGCTTAATCGCCTCCCGATCGCTTCCCGCGCTCAAGTATCGGACGTACCGTTTGACGTATACGCCCGTTTAACAGGGCGAGGATGCGCCAAATAAATTTCGAGGATTACAAATTCTCGCGTCTTATACGGAACGGAAAGTTCTCCTTTTCGATTACTTATACAAGTTCCTCCAAAATTTGATCCCAATGTCACATTACAGCGTGCATTACACGTTTGACACGCATGTCTACGGTATAAAAATAATGTATGTTTTAGAAATTTTATATAAAACAATAATACTCATGAGAGAATTTATTTAGCGCAACTCTTTTATTATTTAAAATTATATTATTAATATTATTAATAAATATTCTTTGTCGAAATCTTGTGTTAGATAGTATTCTTTGAGAAAATCGCATTGAGATAAAATAAAAAAGAGAAATTTTGCTTTAGAAGTTGCGTATTGTTGATTTCAGACCACGCGACGTCGTCTGACGCTGTGGTTGATGGTGGCGATACGGAGCTCGGTCACCTGAGCGATCATCAGATCAACGACGCGCTGCACGATCCCTTGAATCTGGGTGAATCCGACCGACCGCGCAAGGTGCGAAGATCGCGAACGACTTTCACGACCTATCAGCTGCACGAACTCGAGAAGGCCTTCGGGAATACGCAGTACCCGGATGTGTTTACCAGGGAGGAGCTGGCGATGAGACTGGACCTATCGGAAGCCAGAGTACAGGTGCTTTTCACGAATTCAATCATTGCAGAAAGGACCATAAGCCCATGAGAGGACAGATATTGCAGAAATAAGTAAAATTCTTGCAAATATTTAGATAGGAAGGTAAAAATATAAAGTAAACTAGAAATTTTTAAGGCACGTGGGTTCTTAATTTGAGAAAAGAGAGATATGTGGGATATGGGATAGATATGGGAAGATTTTGGGTAATTTACATAAATGTTTAAAATTTTCTTTTCTATATTGCGGGAATAAAATGCAAGAGGTATTAAATTATAAATAGAACAGATGTAGCAAATTTAAATGTTATAAATATTATAGCTCAAAAAGAGACAACGGGTGTCTCGTATTCCTATTGTCTTTTCAGTTATTGAATATCGTGTTTTATTAGAATAAAATAGTCGCGACACTCTCGATTATTATATGTACTTCCAAAAGATTAGCTTATGCCCATATCTCGCAATGACTGATTCAAATATTCCACAAATGCGGCTTGAGGCGAATGAGGTAAAGAAGTCCGGCCAGATTTTACCAGACAGTTGCAGAAGTATAATTAACCTTTCGTTGCTTTGACTGGACGAATTCACAAAGCCTGAGAGGCACGCGAGTGTCGCTGAGTTTTGCTCATTTGATAGTGGCAAGTTTCGTAAGTAGTTTTAATGACGAGTTTTAGATTCGGTCAGCGGAATGAAATTTAAAAGGCTAACTCGTTGCTCGCACGTAATTTTGATGTTAAATATGGAGATTGTCAAAAGAATTCGAGGCAATGATGCAATAATCCATATATAAGCAAAAAATTCTGTATTTTAATAACGTTCATGACAAAACATATTTAAATAACTATTAGGATACTTTGTTACTCATAATTACAGATTTAAATTTATTTCATAATTTACAAAGAATTAGTTTTTTACATTTCTTCGTCGCGATAAAGTGATTCTAGTATAGCGATATAGTATAGCGATTAATGCACAATAGCGTAAACTGATTTTCTGCACGTGCAATTTTCACGAGGATCGATTTATACGTAGATTTTGCGAAGGTTTGAGGAACGTCAAGCATCCTCGAGCGCTTGCAGAATTGCGCTTTGGCGACTCAGCCTCAAGGCACTAGTCACTTAACTAATTAGAGACTATTGTGTCGCAAAATTTCGTGCTGCGTTTTCCATCTGTAATTTTGCGAAACATACACTACGCCCCGAATTCGATGATTAATTTTATAGAAGAAGGGCTGCCTCTCGTGCAGACTAGTAATCTGCTTTGGAATTACTTTAAACCGGCGTCCTTGAAAATTCAAGTACGTTGCAGCGATGGGGTTGTAGTTCAATCCATGATAACGTGGTATACATTGTTTCGCGATGATTTGTACTCCCCCTTCATACATCTCTTTTTAATATATGCACTGTAAAAACAGATTAATTTTGGAACGTAAGAAATAATTCAGTTTTGCAATTATAAATGAATGACGTTATGTATAGAGTAAATAAATTAAATTACATCAGTAAACAATTATTTGCGAAATGGTAACGATAATTCGCTCGAGTGCTGGTGAAATTAACATGCATAAACGGTATTTATACGTAAATGAATATCGAAATGAATACATTATAACGTCGCAACACGATCCTTAATGAATATCAGATAAAGAAAGAACCTCTTATCGATTTTCTTTCAAGAAATACTTACTCTTGAATCGGTGCGTTCTTGAATCGAATCACCCGATTCGATTGTTTTATTCCGACGTATACGACAAAGAAACTGTCGACAATTTTAGAGGAGGCGCGCACGCACACTTGTACACGTACTTTCTGCATGTATATAACCGTGGGTGAGAGTGCGAAGGGTTGCGTGGTGCCGCCGGCGGAAGGGTGGCGATGATGCTGAAAAGAGACAGAGAACATTCCGATTGGCCCATTGTGGTACAGCGGAGCGACAATGCCGGCAATTGGCCGTCGCTCGACAAAACCGCTAAATGATCCGCCGCGGCGCACAGTGGTGCCACGGCCACTTTATTTCAATCTAGGAAATCCTCCAGTACCCCCCTCGCGAGCCCCTCCCCTCCCCCCCGCCCCCACTCACGCGCCGATTCCAGATGCGAAATTACCCCATTTTTCGGTATTAACGGCTGGCCGATGTATCGACGATCGGGCGCGTATGGTAATGCAATCGCGAGTCGTTTCTGACGTTTCCTACACCCCGGCAGATTTGCCACCGCCGGACACTCTGGATGGAATTTTTATAGGCTACCATGGTCGTCGCGGTGCGATTTTCGCGAATTACTCCACTGCGTTAAGAAGACAATGTTTTTTTTTAATAAACAATATGTTCAAAAAAAAGAGTTCTTTAAGAATCTTCCTCTTTTAAAAGATAACTTTATGTTAATTTAGAAAAAAATTGGTTAAAAGTTTAATAGAGAGATCATATCGAAGGTTCAATTGATAAAAGGTCTAAGAGTTCCAAATTCGACGTTGATCGATGTACAGATTGCGGAAACATTGCCGATTTCTATGGTAAATGGTTCGAGAGATTAATGAGGTAGAGTTATGGAAACGCGACGGCGTTGCAAACTTTCGAGTTCGCGGTGGGTCGCTTAAATGACGCAAGGTTTGCGAGCACTTAAGCGTTAGAGGCTATTCAGGAGCGATTAAATAATTAACAGCAATTAGGCAATTGAATTTCCTGCCCCTCCCCCCTCCGGTCTCGCAACGCTGACCTCTTTCCCTCGCTTCAACGTTATTCCTCTCTTCTCTTCCTCGATGCCACTTCCTTCTCCCTGGCAGTGCACCCTCGATTTTCTCACGTTGCCTTGATTTTATTCCGCAACCCGGCCGAACTAACTCGCTAATTTGTCTCGATCCAACGGCCTGCCATAAGTCATAATTTCATTTGGTTTTCAAAAGTAAGTTATAATTAATGTCGTCGCGTATACGATAAACCGTAATCTTTCGCGCCTTCTCCGAAGAAAAGACTAACAAACTATTCAGATGCGAAAGAGTATGCGACCTTAATTTTACTATTAATAAATTTAATCTTTTATTAAATGGATAATTAACTAAAGACTCTCAATATTAAAATTAACCAGGTAACAAGGAAAAAGTGGGCTTTGAAAGTCAAACACGATTAGCTGTGCGTGAGTTAACGTTATGTAAAATTCAATTGTTACGATTTATAACTTTGTATAGAATTGTTAATTAAATGTTACATAACGTTAACTCACGCACAGCTAACCGCGTTTGACTCTCGAAGCCTATTTTTTCTTTGTCACTTGTTAATTTTAATCTTTTGTATTATTTATAATATTAATTATGTAAATCTGCTAATTAAATAATTTAGTATATGCTTAAGTATTCATTGTCTGTTTAGTTTATCTATATTTATCCATGGCTATATTTTTACATATTTAAATATATATTTAAATTTTTTATATTTAATATATGTATATGATTCAGTTTTCTTTCTGTGAGAATAAAGATATAATAAAATGTTCTTTCTTTTTTCTCTATTTTTTCTTTTTCTTTTCTCTTTCACTCCCTCTTCTGGTACCCACGAAAATTCAGAATAGCTCGGGTGGAAAGCGAAAGTATTTATACGGCAACCGGACCAGCGATAGGGTCGTCAGGGGTAGACGAGAATAGAGAGCCGGAGGCAGGGGTTGCTAGTACTCAGGGGTACGAAGGAAATCAGGATAATTGTTAACAATTAGCTTAATCAACCTCGAGAGCAAGCTTTTGTTGTTGGCTGCTCTGATACGCGCGTCTGGGGTTCTCATGGGCTTCCCTTTCCTGCTAATTTTGGATCTTCATGACGTACATCTGGTATTTCGATAATTCATAATCAGTTGAAATTACGAATCGCCTCTCAACGGTTCAAATAGATTATTTAATTGGATTGAAATTATAATAATATTTTCTTTAAAGTATTCTAAAAAATTATTTTGAAATAATTGCTTAATGTCTTTAATGCCAATTAATATAAAGAGATCGTGCTGAATATTTACTCTACAAAGTATTTTTCTTTGTTTTAGGTGTGGTTTCAAAATCGACGTGCAAAATGGCGCAAGAAGGAAAAGGCCTTGGGCAGAGATACGAGTTTCATGCACGTCGAGCAAGGAGGTGAGTCTAATTGTAAAAAAATTAAAATTGCTCGTGGAGACAATACCATTTTTGACAGAAGTAAAAAAGGAAACCTTTACTGTTGGAAAATTTTTGTAGGTTTGTTAAAAAAGGTCCTTGTTAAAATTTTTGTGTAAAATAATCAATACATACATGTGTACATTTAACATATGCCTGCTATGTTAATTGAGCTTAACAAATTTAAAATGTAAAATTATTAAAATAATTTAAAGAATATGTTAAAGTAAAACAGTTTGAACGTATTTATTAAATGTGTTAAAATTTACAGAAAAAGAATGTTAATTTTACTCTATAACAGAAGTGGAAATAAAAATTTACAGAAAAAAAGTGTTGATTTTATCTTACAATAACTTCAATATAAAAGTTATGTTAATTGTACACATAATTAACGTCAAATTACGATCAAAATTACATTTTTTTTCTGTTGAAATATTTTAACATAGTATCGGTTTTACCATTTAACACATCCATATTATGTTAAATTAACACAAAAATTTGAGTGGACCGTTTTGGACATGCGATTTATGTTATATTTAACACAAATTTTCCAACAGTGTTTAGTAAGAAAAACTGTGTCTTGCAATTGTAATGTGTCTTGTAATTATTAGACATCAGATATTCTATTTTACAAAATTTTTTGAAATGTAATACGGTTTAAATATTTTTTGCCGTGTTGCATAATTGTTATTTTCAAGTGTTTCAGTAAAATAGAAAGATTTTTCGAGTTAGATAATTGGTTTGTATTTTTCTTTTCTGTTTTTTTTCGCAACAATGGATGGATTAATGTCTTTTTTTTTAATTCTCTTCATTCTTTTTCCTTCTAATAGTAAAGTAATCGCGAATGCTCGTTTTCCACCATCATTGCTCCCTTGCTTTGCAGTAACAGTAACACGTGTGTTACGGTCACTAATATACGCAAGAGAGAACGATAGGGCGCAAGTTATAAAGGGTAGATGCAATCGACGACAATTACGTCTAATTTTAGTGTCGCTCGTCGCAGCCATCACGTGCGAATGATATAGAACAGAAACCTGGCCGATTATTTTTTCATGAGACGCTTTGCGGATAAAGCTTGCACATCGAACGTGCGATATTAGCAGTGAAAAAAATCTAATGACTTCAGCATTGTAGTATTTCAATATCACATAATAATTATTTTTATTACGTATTTCCAACCGCGTTACAAGAATCCTAAATTTCTTCTGCGTATTAACACTCTTTAAAAATAATTATAACAAATCCTTTCCACACTCTCTATAGTCTGGAAAAAAATAAAAGTAGAGAAAGAAAATGGATTTCTAAAGTAGATCTATAGCGTAGATTGCTCACAAATGAAGTCGATACAGTTTTCTCCATATCAGAATCTGAAGCAGCGTCAAAGGAGTAAGCAAGCTGGTCGAATCCTGTTTACAGGTGTTAACGAGCTGTCTCTTCACGCGCGGCTGCTGCAAACGGCCAGCGGCGTTCCCGGCGCGGATTCCTCGGGCCCGCCGACGGGCGCGTTTCCCTGGTTCATACCTCCGGTATTCCCGTCGCCCTGGCCACCGAGCGCGCCCAAGCTGCCGCCGTTGCACGCCCTCCTGTCGCAATACATCGGCCTGCCGTTGCCGCAGAACCTGGCGTCCCTCGGCACGATGCTCCCGGTCGGCCTGAACCCGAGCTCGTCGCTGAACCACAGCAACGTGAACGGTCACTCCCTGGGCGGCCACTTGCACGGACACCCCCTGAATCTCGGGGTGCAGAGCATACCGCAGAACCTGAGCTCGAAGAACGACAGGGAGGAGGATTCGGCGTCGTCCGACGACGAGATCAGGAAGCAGAGCGCGGAAGTGCTGAGAGTGAAGGCGGAAGAGGCGCTACGCAAGGCGGACAATTAACTGTGAGAGCTTACGGATTTTTGTAAATAAAAAGGAACCTTCTCGGTTCACCCGAAAGAGCCGTTTGATACCAACGTAAAATTTTCGCTCGGCCGTAAACACCCGCGAACCTATAGTATCCTGTATGCGTCAGAAGTTTATTTCGTTTGTCAGGCTGCAAAAGAGTATGGATTCGTGTCGTTCGTACAATTCGGTAGGCACTTTACTACGCGATGTATCCCGGAAGGAAACGCTTTTGCCAATGGGTTCTAAAGTTAAGAAAAAATAATAATAAGAAAAAAAGACTCTCCGTCACAAGATCTATTAAAATTATTTTTGCATTTTCTTTCGGGACGCTCTGTAGGACTTGGATTCGAGTAGTATGTATTCCAGTAGAAAACAGACAACATTTGATACACATTTGAATATTTGTTGTGACGTATCGGTCGTATTGTTAATTTTGAACATGTTCGATCAGCAGCGTAGTCCAATCGATAGATTGTTGAATTTACACAACTTCAGCGCCAATTAGATATTCGCGCAAGACGCAATAATAAGTTTACCAGTCATTGATCAATAATTAGTTGCTGACTGAATACACGCGGCCTTTCGACCTAGAGTCATAGAAACTCGATTATTGCAAATCGGTTTATTCAAATATGTTCTTAAATAAAAAAACAAACTCACGGCAAACACAAAAATATTGGATTTTGAATAATATAATAATGTAACAGAGACTTTAAACGGAATAACGAATGTAGTTTCTCCTATTCAGAAATATTCGGAAATATTCAGAAATATTCAACAAAACTAACAGAACAATTTGTGTTACTTTTTAATAAACAGAAAATAAATATATCATTCATGAATTATTTTTTAATATATTAATATACAAATATATATATAATACATATTTATTAATTTATGTTTTATATATAATATTATTTGTCGTTAAATAAATAACATATATATATACAAATAATAAAATATTTCAGAAAACTATACAGACACCGCTAACAGTTTATACTTTATAAGGAGACATTTGATTGCTTATTTTTATTATTCGCGTTGCAGCGAAACATCAAAATGTGAGATTTGACAGATAGCAATGCACATAGCGCAATCATGCATTGTTATAATATAATGGGTTATGCACTATTATTTGCGTCGTAATTATTTAGCACTGCTCGAGTTGTTATTCGACGGCGACACGTAACAATCTATTTCATCGATGTCAAAAACTGATTGCGTTTTTCTACGTGAATCAACATGTAAGGGCTGATCAGACTAATTGCTGCACTGGGCTAACTATAACATCAGAATATTATTTAATAATAAATAATTTATAAATTTGATTTAATTATGTTCCTTTACAAAAAAATATAAAAATTGCGATATAGCGTATTCATCCTGTCACAACTGCCTTATCCCGTAAAAAAGATAGATGAGTGCAACCGCGTAGAATTTCTTCAAGATTTAAAAGAATAAGTACCGTACAGGATCGTCGGTGTACGTATCAAGTGAAAAGAGAGAGAAAGAGAAAGAGAGTGTAAGCAATTTTTGTAAAATACATGTATCATACGACCATTAGATATATATCATGTATACATATGTAACATATATATCAATATAAACTTTGTGTAAATATGTAGGCTACCCATTAAGTTAAAGAAATATATTAAACCTAACAAAGAACCACACAGAACTGTATTTCTTTCAAAACTATCATCGTCTATCATCGTCTGCCAGCACAACGTTGACAGTCGGAAACGATCTTTCCTCACAATTAAAACATAAAAAACGAGTATAAAATTTGAGATAAGTTATTAATTAATTTATTACTCATCTCAAATAATTATCAGAATGGGTGCAGTTTTTAAAAAATTGTGAGAAAATTAAGTAGACATATTTGAATTAATAAAGATAATGAAATTAAGGGCTAGTGAAAGAGAGAGGTGCTTGGAAGCATTAGAAACGCCATCGACTGCACGTGATCAATTTTCAATATTTTTACATTTTCAAGTGTCTCTATATAATAGTCTTTACTAGCGTATCACGATTAATAAGCCGCAGGTGCCTCAGGTCCGACTCTTTCGCACCCGTCAATTCGGGCCTCAACTACTCTAATTCGTCCTGTCCGAGGGCAATTCACACGGGGGCGAGCTACAAAATCGCTTCCGCGTCATTAATCATGAAAAGATTTGGCGTATTGGCCGCGTCATTACAACGATTTCCTGAATTCCGCGCAGCTGGCGGTGCCCCCGCACGGACCCCCGGATTCCCACGGGCCCCAACGCGCCGACTGTGCCGCGCGCGTTTAATCGCGCACCCCCGCCTTCCGCCCCCTCCCCCTCCCTATACGTTCTCTCCCTCTCCGTTTCACCCCGGGCTCCGCATTTTCCGCCGTCGAAAGTGAATTTCGTCCGTGGGCGGGATCGGGCGCATCCCGGCGTGAACGCCGGTAACACGCACAACGGCAATTACAATCCGGCCAATTTATCCGCGTTATCAGAAATTTATCTGTCGCAAAGGACGAAGGCCGCACGACGAACGCGAGAGTTAACGTTATCGCCTGGCGTTATCGCACGGGAAGGTAATTATTGCACCACCTGCTTGGACACTAGCCGCGCGATCCGCGCGAGCTCGATAAAACACACAGATAACGCGGGTGAGCGAATGATATTTCATTTCGAAGGTATTTTGTCGAGGCTCGCAGGCAACATATTACTGTAACGGTTATAATACTTGATAGTTTCTTCTTAATAATTTTTAGAACTAAGAAAAAAGAAAAAATAAGTAAATAAATATGTACATACATAATATGTATGTATATCTCGACAGAGAAACGCAAATGGCAACGCAGGTTGTTGCGATGAGTAGGTGTTCACCTTCGTGGGTTTTTAGGCAAAGAACTCAGAACGGTGCGCTCGAGAAACGGCGCAGACATTTTGTATTGACACATTAGGTGAAGTACGCGCATGCTTTCGAAATGCTCCGCTTACGTTTTAGCTCAACGACCGCGTCGCATAATGCTGCAAAGTTCCGCTAAATGGAACCACTAGAAGAAGGAGAAAGAAACGCTCGAGGTCCACTTCGCCCCGATTTCGTCCGTCAGACGGTATTGCTGAATTTCGGTTTCGGCCCTACAATCTCGTGTCTTTAGAATATTCGGCGCAAATATGTAAGCCTTCTTTTACAGAGAAGTTAGAGAAATAGCGTATACTGAAGAATACTAACAATTTTATGATACTAGATGAACATTTTTAAAGAAACGATCTAACGTCTTTTATATATCTTTTTGTTTTACGTTGTAAATTAATAATCTCGAAATATTTGGTACAATTTATGCATTCTGAATGTTAACTGGTTCACGTCTTTTTAAGATAAATTACAAGCCAATATTTTTTGGAAAACACAATGTTGTTATGCGTCAGGCACACATAATTGCGCTCGCATTCTCCAAAATGGAAGAAAAGCGATATTTCCGGCTTTAAACGCCTGTCCGCCTGTTTCAACTGATTTCCACTAGCCGTTTCTCGCCTTTTTATAAAATGCTACGGCACAGATGAAGGATCACAGTTGAATACCACTGATCGCGATCGCGGTTGTTACGAAGGACAATTAGATTAAAAGCAGCGCCTCTCGCGGCGGCTTGAGATCCATTAGTGCCCATTGTGCCACCCCATTTACACCCCCACCGACCATCCCCCATTGCTCCATGCCCTTCTCTCCGGAACAGAGCACCCGTCTCGAAGCCAGGTACTTATTCTCAATAGTAATATGCTCACTTCATATTTCTACCTCTTCGTCCTTCAACGCTTCTGTCTGCATCACCCGACGGAGTCCCTCTTCTCCTTCCTTCCGTTCTTCTTCTGCGCAAAAATTGCTGGCAGTGATGACGTTTAAAGAGATTTTTCCGTCTTGCAAAAATTATCACGACAATACACGTGCGAAACCCCGATATTAATGACGTAGCCCAAATGACTTCTATTTTTATATCCATCAGTCGTGATATAAACCGGCGTCGATTACATCATCGTCGATTAATCAATGACATTGATCTTTCCTTCGAGTTTATCACCATAATTTCGCTCGTCAACTAAATGCTGTTTAATCTTTTGCTTATTCAATACAATATACAATACAATCGTGTGATTGTGCAATAAATTTATATAATAAAAATCAGATAGAGAATCAGACTCACAAAATAATCTTCCCGAACTAGGAAACTTAGGACGGCAATTCCAAGGACATAAAATACAATAAAGGACTCTTAATGAATAATAATGTGAACTAAACATTATTTTCTGATTTAAAAATATATACAACGACTTATAAATAACATAACTTTTTAACTTATTTTTAATTTAACGTATATAATATTCGTAATGCAGAACGTTGCAAAGGCATATGTGGTATATATTGACAGCTTTATTAATAGCTTTATTTAAAAGAGCTACAATTTTACGTATTAACTTGTATAATTTAACGCGTAACTCAATATCCTTGCATTTGATATTTTGTCCATGTAAACATTGCGGCAAACATTATTATGGTTTCTACATAAACTTCGTATAAATGATTCGTGCAAAACCACAGACTAATTTGGATGTAAAGTCGAAATAATATTCCTAAGCACGCATATAATACATCCACAATAGCTGATGCAACCACAGCGGTTTTGCGTAGGTGGAGATGATATAATGCTTAGAATCGCATACGAAACGTTGTGATTTTTTTCGGCGCTAATAATTCGTTGAGTGTCATTATCCGGAATTAACATTGCTTTCGCGAAATAATAATCGCTCTTGTACGAGCATGCCCGATCTGCCGTAGTAGGATTCATTTTAAATGTTAAAGCACACAAGTGAATTTCTGCTTAGTTTTATAGTGCCAATGTTCATCTGTTTAACGTTCCGTTAATTTACGATGTAACTAATCGATAAGTGTATTTTATTAAAATCATATGTATTGTTTCGGGATACGTTATTCGATCACTGATTCGATGATAGTTCTTCTTGCAACTTATATAATAAATATAATAAAAACGCATTACTACTCGACACAAATTACCGCGTTCAACAAATTACATTAGTCTTACGTGATAAGAACGTAATAATTGACATAAGGTATACATATTTTTATTTGGGCATTTATGTTTATAAAGCGTCAAGAACTGAACTATTCGAAATTAACCGGTTCGGATGCCCAATTTCAAAATCACCCTAATTTGCAGCGAAGAACGCGAAACTCCCCGCTGCGGATTCGGATCGGAAGGGATTCCGCGTGAAAGTACGTCCTGCGATCCTTGCCGGCGAAAGCCCGGGACCTTTGGAAACCTCTCTTGTTCACACGTTGTGAAACTGGGTGTACGGTTATGCTTAAAAATTAGTGTCGTTATGACGCCGCGCCCGACTCTACGTACACATTAGGTGTACACACTTCATTAAGGCCATTAGGGGGCATCAGAGCATCCAGGGCGCGCCCAGCAAGGCGACGATCGGCGGTCTCAAAAACGATCTCTTTCTAGCTCTCGTCGTCTTTTCAACTTCCCCCCGCACGAGGGGTGACCAACAATAATGGCTTCTACGCTGATAGGCTTACGCTCAGAAATTGTGGGCTTCCCGAGGCCTGAGGCTCTCTTGAAAAGTGATATACCTGCAGCTTGCCGATTTGGTCGCATTCGTACTTTAGCGATCCACGACGCAGACATCGCGGATCACGGAGCGAAACGAATCCGAATGTTGAATCTTTCACGATACGTTACTTCATACCTATAGGCCGTTCTAGCCTATAAATGTTAATTATCATTTATTATCTATTAACCTAAATTATTAAAT